TCTTCAGGCAGATATGAAGACCCTGCACATTGACGTGCGCAAAAGACACCGTTAATTTGGCAAGTCTATTACTTGCATAATGCTGTTCTTAAGTGAACTATATATAGGCGATTGCTTTCCATTTTTACTGTTTTTTGCACACGCAGCTGTGCAGTATTTTAAACTCTACCAGAAGAAGGCGTAATGAGCTTCTGGCCGGTGCCATCTTTAATGTTCGTGCGCATAGCGCGTGCTTTGCTCGCTTTGCGAAGCGAAGAACGCGCACGTGTATGGCTCTGAAGATTGCGCGCTGGCCGAGCGGCTCACCGGCCAGCTCGGCCACTCTCAACTTGCACCCCAAAACGTTCGCTTAGGTTAGCCAAAGGCTCACATACTGACAGACGTGCTGTCGGCCTTGCCTTACGGGGAAGCCACCCACCGTGTTCTACATGGATAGTTCTATACTCGTTAATAGGTCTACGGGCTAAATTTATACATTAATAGTTCTACGGGCTAAAACATTTCTCTCGTATAGTGAAATGTGACTACATCTTGACAGCGCTTCGGGAGCTGGCGGAAAAACGCGGTTCTAAAGGTCTCGGGGCTATGCTTTGTCTTGTCACTTTGACTTTTTTTCGCAAACAGAACTTTATGCAAAATGACCCGGTCGGAGGAACTCAGAGCCAGTCACATAGCATGAATTGTCAACGTTAAGTTTGTGATAATATAATAGCACTCACATTTAAAACTGTCAGCCACTGAACAAAGTTCCGGTAATGCCACCACAGCGAACGACGTTTCCCTAATGCTCAGTTGAAGACGATGGAAGAGGACTTCAAACAAATATGAGAAAATGGTTGATCAGGCGGCATGCTGGCCCTCGCTAGTCTGACAAACCTACAAAAAAAGATACAAAGAAACATTTTCTCCCCCCCACCTCCGCCCCTCCTCCCCTCGGCCTCCCTCTAAGGCGTGGGCCGTCGGTAAATCGCGGTCGCTTGTTTACATAGAGTCTTTGCCGGTCGGGTCACTTGTTTCGTTTTCTCGCCATTAACAAGATGGCGGACGTAGTTCTCGGCGCGCTACTAGAAGGCGCTCTACATTTGACATAGGACCTATTGCCCTTGCAACGTACGATAAATGTTTATTCTATGTCATAGCCGAATAAAAAACACTCCCACATACTTTACGGTATAAGCATATTCAAGCGGGGAACAAACCCAATTCAAGCAAAAAATGTTTCAAAATCCGGGATTCATGATTAAAAACAAATACCTCCGACTTGCATAACAATACCAACAATTTATCAGACGTTTCGTCTCCTATGCGGGAGACATCATCAGTGCGGCCTGGGAACACCTGACTAGCTACCAGCAATAAATTGTTGGTATTGTTACGCAAGTCGGAGGTATTTGTTTTGAAACAATTCAAGCAGCAGCAACACCAAAAGATCTCCGAGAAACCCTCTGACCTCTCCTAGCCCAGCACATACCGGGGACAATTTCTCCCCCGGCAACAACCCCCCCCCCTCCCCACCATATGCAGGGTCCAGTAACCCCCTCTTGGATTCGGACATTACGGTCCCCGAGGTTTGTGCGGCTCTGCTTCAGCTCCACATCAACTCGGCGCCGGGCCCCAACCAAATGACTAACAATCCCCTTCGCAACCTGGATGACCCATTCATAGAAGCTCTCACGAAATACATGAATGAGTGCTGAGGAACAGGCAATCTTCCCCCCGCCTGAAAAACTGCAGAAAATATCTTTATCCTGAAGCCGGGCAAGATTCTCGCCTTAGAAAACCTCCGGCCAATCTCGCTCACGTCTTGCGTGAAGAAGGTGATGGTACACGTCACCCTGAATCGCCTCGTGGCGTTCGTGAAGACGACAACCATCTTCTCCCTCCGCAGATGGTGGGCTTTCGAGCCGGCCTCTCAGTTCAGTATGGGGCGCTACAACTTAAGCATCGAATCCTACAACCCACTACCTCTCGCGACACCCGAGCCATCCTAGGCCGTGACGCCATTAGCCCAGGCACCCGCACGTACGGGTGCATCGAGGCTTTCTTAACTCACAGGCAGGCAGCCATCACACTAGGGTTCCTCACCTCCGATCCCATACAACTGGGAAGCTTCGGTACCCCAAAGGCTCCGTACTTTCCCCCTTCCTTTTCAACTTAGCCTTTTTACCCCTTCCGGCAACACTAAACACCCTTTCGGGACTTCATTATAGTCTCTACGCAGACGATATCACGCTGTGGGTGGGAGGTAGCAGCGATGGACACATCGAGGCAACCCAACAGTCCGCCGTGGACAGCATAGCAGTACACACGGGAGCGGCCAACTTATCTTGCTCTCTACAAAAGTCTGACATCCTCCTACTGCTTCCAGCAGAGTGGCCACGACCCCTCCCGAAATCACGTTACTAGTAAACAACCATTTGATCCCTGAAGTTCCTACTATACGAGTTCTGGGCCTCTTAATCCAAAACAACGGAAGAATGCGCAAGCATTACAAAAACGACAAATAAGCATAAATCAAACGCTTCTACTCATTCATCGAATCTCCTCACGACATCATGGCCTCAAGGAGCAGAAGATGCTTCGGCTGGTCGAACCCTTTGTGATCAGCCGTCTAGTCTTCTCCACAGCCTACGTTTTCCTACAACGAGCAGAACTCAACAAAGTTAACACGCTCTTTAGAAAAACCTACAAGGCGTCCCTCAGCCTCGCACCCTCTACCTCCACCGATAGACTCCTTAAATTATGAGTCCATAACACGGCTGAAGAATTAGCTGAGGCCCATCTCACTGCACAATACGAACGGCTATCTGATACTCAGGTGGGCCGACACATCCTCACGTCACTGCAGATTAACTTCCCACCCAACCCATCTGACAAATGCTCCCTACCCCTCGATGTCCGCCAATCACTCCAGGTTTTTCCTATCCCACGAAACATGCACCCTCAATTTCACGAACAGAGGCGCCTTAAGCGCAACGAGGCCCTCCATTAGCGCCTCGGCGGCCGAGAGGACGTGACCTACGAAGCCGCCGCCGAATACACCCGCCGAGAGGCGTTTGCCCTCTTGGCGGTTAACAATGCAGGCCCCCTTGTGATCTCCGCAACTCTTTACACTACACTTTCAGAAGAGGCGGAAGAGTTAGCCATCGCTCTGGCGATGACCGACACCTCCGCCACCACAATCGTTAGCAATTCCAAAACAGCTATCCGTAATTTCATGAAGGGGCGAGTTCCCCCCCACACCCTACGCCTTCTCACCATTCCGTCCACCTCATCAGGACCCGTGCGCACTCCTCCCTTCCTGGCAACGAGGCCGCCCACACTTCCGCCCGAGGGCTCACCAACCCGGCTGGGGACTCCGCACCTCCTGGGATGCAGTTTCGTCGGCCCGGGACCGATTGATCACTTTTCACAAGATCACTAACCATCATCGACTAAGGCGGCGCATCTACCTTTCCCTCACTCTTCCCTACCTCGAACTCAGGCCACTATGGGGCGACAGCTCCAGACCAACTCATACCCCAATCCAGTCCTGTACTCCCATATACGCCCAGGCCCCTTCACCCCCTTTTGTGCGCTATGCCATGGGAGGGCAGACCTAAACCATATCATTTAGAACTGCCCGAAGGACCATTGGTCCGACGGGCCTGGCATTGCTACCCTGGGGCAGTGGGAGGCCACGCTGCTCAGCTCGGACCCGGTCCTTCAGGACAGGGTCACCCAACGGGCTGAGCAGTTCGCCGGGGTCCATGTACTCCAATCCACCAGGTGGGAATAAGCTCCCTATACTGCGCGCTCAACAGTCGCCCTAAAACAAATAAACCTTTTCTCCTTTTTCTCCTGGACGTCAGCGCACAGCTTTTGCAGCGGCGAGAACCCGAAACCCACTTGTTAGCTCGGGAGAAGTGTGCTTCGTCGTCTCGCCACAGTAGCGCGCCAGTCACGTGGCTCTCCTCTCCTCCGTTGTCTTCCGCTCCACCTTTTCCATTTCGGCGGCCGCTTTTCGTGGTGATCTGCTAGGCTTTGTCAGTATATTGGAGGCTATGCTCAGGCGCGTTCGGAGACCTGACGACGCTCGTTGCTTATGCTCAGCTTCAACCTAAAATGAACCGAGGTCAATCCTACAAGCCATCCTCAGAATTCAGCGCCTTGATCGTACACAATGGTTTCACGTACCGCGCGTCTCTGCTTGTCCGGGAATATAGCCTCTTAACACTGGATATACTAGCGTCCGCTGCAGTCTACCTTAGGGTGAGACTGTACCAGTGTTCTTTCTTACTTGCTTTTCTGCGAGGCCCTCGGCTCGACGGTTCAGCTGGTTCGGCCCTTAAGAGGCCGCTTCAACTCCCCCTCACTTCTTCATTTGCGCTAGTTCCGCTATCACCCGTGTGACGTATCTTTGCCTTGTATTTCAGTCGTCGGTCTCTGACGCGGCCTTTAGTTCATCGTGTGTGATACCCTCTGGCTCTTGAACGAAACCATAAGTGCAATAGGGAGCAACCGAGCGAATCCTGTTAAAGGATTCTTCATCTATGGACATCGCCTCCAACCGGTCAGTGTGCCAAATCGGAAACTGCCGGCAGGCTCTTTCTGGAGGTCATGGTTCAAACTTGGAACGCCACGTGCAGCGGCACCACAAAAGTTAACATGAGCAGCTACTAACGGAGGAAGCAGCTAATAAAGCTGCGTCCTCGAAGCGCTCGGCTACAGTCACGAAGAGTCCACGGCAGCAGAGGTGAGGCAAGTGGATATACGAAACATGCCCTGACCGAAAACGTCACAGTCGCTATCACTTGACATGACCGAGGAAACTATATTGAGGGGCTGCGTCGAGCTAGTGACAAAGAACGGACGGCCATTTCGCCTCGCTAAGGACTCTGGCTTTCTCCTGATCATCGGCCCGGTTCTAAAAGCCTTGGGCAACAATCGTGCCATAATGCTGCAGTGATCAAGGACAGAGTCCAAGAAGATGCTAGGATGATCCCATTGGACCACGAATATCCGAGGGACATCCGGTTTAGATCCGAACGTCCATGACCCCAACGACCGAAACGGGACGTCCAAGGGACCAACGTGGGAGGTGTATTTCAGGTTATAAAGAACGTCCATTTTCTCTGCTCCTGTGGATGTCCTCTCGATGTCCGCTTTGGGATTTGCCCGATAGATCCCGGGCATGATATCCTCTGGACGTCCAATGTAACACAACATATATTACTTCCATTAGCGGGTCTATATAGTGCATTCCAAAAGCTAGAACAGCACTGAGCAACTGGAAAGGCCCCAAGTTTCCAAAACTAGTGAAAAAACAGCGAGTGTGCTGCAGGCAAGCTGGTGAGCCTCTGCGCTCGCAGCATGCAGTCTCAGGTGTTGAAGCTGCCTCCCATAGCTTTACCTTCGGCTTTCAGATTTTCCTACCCTAAACTAGATCCGAGATGGGAGCGCAGCGCCACCGAGATGTAGTCACAGCTTTTATTGTGCATTCGAGAAGTTTTGTAATTTGTAACTCGACTTATTGTTTCGAGGCGAGAGAGAAACAAGACAGCGAGAAGCAAGTCACGCACCGCTCGGAACAACCTTTTATATATGCATAAAAAAAAAAGAAGAAAAAAAAAAAGCAATTTAGTGTGGCCACATACCAGGAAAGTGGATTGAACAGCTCGTACGAGAACGAACGCTGCACGATACGCGCTTCGCTTCCACCGCACAGGGCAGACGAGCGCCATATTGGACGATGGGATGGAGCGCGACTGCTGCGCCGCGACTCGGTTCTGAAACAAAGCTTGGCAGTTGGTCTAATAACGTTGGTTTCGGTCGTTTCGGTACTCTGTTGCCAACGAGGTCTGTTGCAGGCGTTTAGGCCATAGGCGCGCGGTTAACCGTCAAATTATGGGACCGTGCGTAACGAGTTCAGTTTTATTGGTAGCCTTTGATTATCGTACTTTGGGAATATTTAGTGATTCTTGACCCGGTCAGATTCAATGACTTTAGCTCCGGCTTCGAAGGCGGCTCGTGCTTTTAGTAGTTTTATTGTGTACTTTTATAATGACAATTTTGTTACACAAAATATTGGCCAAATTTTGTCACTTATTAATTTAATAGTGATGCGTCGTGTTTTCATCCCGTGTATTTTTGTTTTGTTTTTGGAGTTATTTGCTGGAGAGGCTGCTAGATCTCCATGCTGCTAGATCGCCATCGTCATCAATCCTGTTTTCCGGCTCCTCTGCAGCTCGTGCGCGCGCGAACGTTTTGGCGGGTTTTCTACTTCTGGTTCGTCGTCTCGGAAATAAGGTGAGTACCTCATTGTATTCATCTCGTCCGATATGTATCCTATTTACGTACGAATCCGGCTATACCGCCATTGTGCACTGAGGCATGTCGTAGCGTAGTAGCCCGCGTTGACTGTGAGTACTGTGCCGCCATGCCTGGATCACGGCCGGCATACGCCTGCGAGAAAGCCTCCCGAGAAACAAGAAGAACTTTAGCGCTTTTTGAGCATGCCAGCAAGGACATACAGGAGGCCGAGTGCAACCCCAGTGAACGTCGTCTCGAGCAACGTAGCACGCCCGCCGCTGCTGAACATGCCCGCGAATCCCCGATTGGGCGAAGTGTTCCCGTCGATGGTGCCTCGAGTGCTGACTCGCCCGCATATCATCTCTACCGCCAAGACCCCAAACGCGAAGGGGCAGGTTACGACCAAGGCCGTTCGTTTGCCGAGTTAGCTGAAGGCGGCCCGCCAGGTTTAGATGATTCCGAAGGCAACGGGGATAGTGCTGGAGAAGGCACAAACGCGCTCTGCGAATTCCAGGATTCCTTGCGGGATTGGGCTGTAGAGAGTGGGATTAAAAGAAGGCCACTGACGGCTCTCCTCAAGATATTAAGGAGACGGGAAGGGATGTCAGACCTACCGAAAGATGGACGCACACTCCTGCAGACTCCTCGCAAACCACACGAGCAGTTCCCCTTCACACCTATGGCGCCAGGGAATTACTGCCATTTTGGACTTGCTGCTGGGCTGCAACACTCATTGCGTAATGTGGAACGGCTGCCAGCTTTCCTTTCCCTCACATTCAACATAGATGGCTTGCCATTGTCAAAAAGCTCGAAAACGCAACTGTGGCCTATTCAGTGCATGGTTTCCGGTTGCAATGAAGCACCATTTGTTGTTGGTGCCTTTGCTGGGAATTCGAAGCCAACATCCTCAAACGACTTCTTGAGGGCTTTCGTTGAGGAGCTGCAGACCTTGCTTTTGCACGGCCTGACTATCAATGACAGTGTCATTCAAGTCAAGTTGGAGGCTATTATTTGTGATGCTCCTGCACGAGCATTCATAACTATGACAAAGGGTCATGGAGGTTACAGTGGCTGTCCAAAGTGTACAGTCGAAGGCTCCTACTTGCAAGGTAGAGTTGTCTTTCTTGACATGGATTGCCCATTGCGTACTGACTTGAGCTTTAGACAACAAGACGACTCGGAGCACCACAAAGGGGAATCCATTTTGTTGGATTTGCCTATTGACATTGTGCATGACCTGCCTTTGGACTACATGCATCTCGTACTGCTCGGGGTCGTGAAGAAGCTCCTTTCCTTGTGGACTTCGGGGCCACTGGCTGTTCGTTTGGGGCCATTGCAGCGACACACTTTCAACGAGTACAGTGAGCTTCTGCGTCCTTGCATTCCCTGCGAATTCCCACGCAGGTCACGAGGACTTGATGAAATCGACCGCTGGAAGGCAGTTGAGTTCAGGCTTCTCCTCTTCTACACGGGTCCGTTGCTTTTGAAGTCCTGCTTGCCAGTTCAGCTGTATGAGCATTTTCTTCTCCTCCATGCTTCACTCTCCATACTGGCAAACCAACAGCTGTGTCGTCAGCATGCCGGCTATGCTGGTGAACTCCTGAGGTGTTTTGTGTCAGAGTTTTGTGAGCTGTATGGTAATCACAATGCCTCTTTCAACATACATTGCCTTATACATCTTGCCTCCGATGTTCAAAGGCATGGGGAGCTAGACTCTTTCAGTGCTTTTCCTTTTGAAAGCCACATGCAAGTGCTGAAGAAGCAGCTCCGGAAGCATGGGAAGCCCTTAGAGCAGTTGTGCAATCGGATGGTAGAGGCACGATCAAAGGATCACAGACAGCCTTCTGATGGCGGCAAACCTTTCAAGCTCAGTCGCCAACACTGTGGAGGGCTCTTGTTGCCTGAATGTTGTCCGCCAGAGTACCAGATGCTGAAGTGTCGGAACTTCACCATTGCTCTAAAGGAACGGGACAACTGCTTCATGCAAGATGGCCACATTGTTATTGCGAGAAACATAGCCCACATGAGGGGCTCAAATGAGCCTTGCATTATTGGCCAAGAGTTTCTTGTGAAGGAAGACCTGTACCCTGCACCCTTCGAGTCTTCCAGGCTTGGCATCTTCATTGTTGCACGCCTCTCAACGCCAAAGCCATGGCCTTTACGTAATGTGCGGAAAATGGTGAAGCTGCCCTGGGACAGCAAATTTGTGGCTTTGCCAGAACTGCACACAGTTTGATGCCCTGTTGCCAAGTAGATGTTGCGTTCGAGTGTACATAGAAGCTGCAAAACCCATCTGTTCTACGCACTTAGGTATGTGCACGTCTTAATGAGGTTCATCGTTGGCTCCTATTCAAAATAACTATAGGATGTCTCAAGTTACCGTATAACGCACTAAAATCAACAGGAAAAATCGCCGCCTGCACGTAACAAATTCCCATTTTCACAAGGGGTGTATTTTATAGGTGCATTTTACCTTGTGAAATCTCAAGTCGTAGCTCCATTCCTGTGAAACGTTAGACTTGGCTCTGTTTTTGTGTAATCCAATGCAGCTGACAGCTTTTGCCGATGGTAAACCGAGTCTTCTATGACGGGCATATTTTTTAAATTTAAAGCATGTTCTTACTCTGCACTGGAACTGAGCTACACCTTGAACGTTCACAAGGTAAAAGTACCTACAAAATGCACATTTCATGTAAAATAGGAGCTTGCTGCATGCAGGTTAGATTTTTCCAGTTGACTTTAGTGCATTATCCGGTATCTTGAGACACTCTATGCATGTAATATGTTTTTTTACCACGTTTTCATACTATTTGTTCCCTTACTTATTGGGAAGGTGTGTTCAGCTGTTGGTAATAAACAATCTCTCTGCTTTTTTTTTTTTCTTTCAGATGGCCTATGCCATTGTGGAGTTCCTTCGTCTAAAGCAGGTTGAAGTTGTGCCTGCGCTCTGGATTCAGGGCGAACATTGTGCATGGCCTGACCAGGCCAAAGGGGACAAGATAATTGTGATGGTGAAAAAAGCAGTGCCACCAGATGCGTCGTGGAAACGATTTGCTGTCGTGGTGAAGTGGTTATTCGGTATGGGCAATTTTATAATGTGATGTGGTGCAAGAAAGCTGACACTACGGATGCTTGTCCTTTCAGCAACATACGAGCAGGCACGGAAGAAGCTGGAGCGTAGCCAATACACATCGGAACTAAGCAGCGACTCAGAAAGGCCGCAAGGCAAGAGGAAGCGGAGGCCACCGCCCCAGTGGTCGCAGTCCGACGAGGAATCAGTGCGACACAAGCCAACAAAAGCAGCCCCCCGAAAAGTGCCCGCAGTACCGGCAGATTTTCCTCAAGGTGATTTGCTGAAAATTGCATCCTGTCTCGTGTTACATAAGACAGCCCTGAAAAACTTGTTGCAACCAATGCAGTGTCGAACACTTCTTTCCCAGGCCTGTTCACTGCTGCATCAAAGGAGGGAAGCAGTTCTGCAGGAAGACAAAGTAAGTGAGCTTCCTCATGTTTGGCTTACATGTGGCTCATATCGAGGCATCACGGTGATGCTCCACACTGCACCACTGCTTCTGGCCAGTGGCTTGGCAGTAGTAGTCTTTACTATAATTCCAAGTGCGAGGCTTCAGGAGGTTCTTTTTCAAGTTCTTTCTTCCAGCTCCGGTACCCATTATGATTTGTTGACACTCCCATAGGTTTGTCGTGTATGAACCGAAGTTGGTACTTAAACTTCAGTTAAGCTGCCGCTTTCTAAATATTTCTGTTCTGCTTTTGGTATCCTTCAGGCTCCAGTGTGCCGGACGACGTCGGCAATTTTGCTCCTGAGATTTGTGTGCAAGGTAAATTCCTAAAACAAAAAAAAAAACAATTTTTTGAAAGTAAATTAAGGCACTTATTATATGTGCTGCAATTGAGTTTATCCACAAACACATTTCTAGCGTAGGAAGAAATGTTATAAGGTTTTCTTTGTTAAAATTCAGATATGTACCGGATCGAACAAGTGATTACCTTCAGCTATTTTTGTATGCTGTGCAGGTAGCAGCCACTCGCAAGCGCCCTCGGATTCCTCCGAGAACGGCAGCATTTTAGACACAGGTAAGCATTTTTATAATGGTATAGTAATAATGAAATTTATCAAAAATTTTACCTAGGGAAAACTTATGCTATTGCTGTCATTTCATACACAGCGATAGTCCAATTAGGAATCATAGCTATATGTTGTGTTCTATTGAACACCGCGGGTCCGTGTTGTCATGAGGTATGCGTATGGACACTCGCAAACATGAACAAGCATTGGTGCTGCTAGTCTTGACTTCTTTTTCTACAAAAGCTCTCTTATACTAAAATGTCCATCGCTATGTACCGGTGTCTAGCTAAGATGAGGAATTTTGCTCATAAAAATGTAATATGCTGTAATCAAGAATTAAGCTGTCTCATACCAAAGGAAGTTTACTGTACACAGGGTACATATTTTCAACCTCCTATCGAACAACCTCAATGAATTATGTTGTTTCATATTTTTAGCAATCTCATGCCTTGTAGCTTAGAAACGGGTTTCCTGGAATTGACTGCTTTTTTCCCTTTCACTTACAGACATAAGGAGCTTGCAGGAATCCAGTTCACCTGTTGAAGGTTGTATTGTTTAATCATCTATTCGCAACTCCAGAGGCTTCAACGTCACCCAGCGGAAAAGACATGAAGGATAGCAACAGGTTGTTCGTGCCTTTTCAACTGTGCTGCAAAAACTGGCGCAGCATGGCAACTAAAACGGGTAACAGAGAAATGGGGATTAAATGTGAGCCGTTGGAGTTGCGAATATTAATACAGAAAATTTAATCATATATATGCTTTTTACTTGGGCAGTAAACTTGTTGCACTACAGCCTTGCATCAATCAAACATTAAATTGCATTAGATGAGGCATGCTAGGGGAGATCTCCTCAAGATAATGTCTGGACATGATCATGGCTTGTTGACTAGTTCTGAGACCTTGTGAGATATATTATCAATATCAAGATAAATAATAGTACAACCTTTTTTTTTGCGTCCCCAGTTGGTTGCAGGGAGCATATTGGCAGCGACTAAATTTTGCAAATCCCAGGTGCCAGGAATGTGTATGTTAAAAGACCAAAAATTTTGCTTCCCCTTAAATTTTATGAACTCTTCAATTCACGAACAGTAAGGGCATGCAAATGCTAATAGTCTCTTGGTATCTCTTTTTAGGAGTATCAGAAAGCTGTCTAGAGGACATTTAGTAGTCTTAAATAGCACATCTAAAGCCTGTGTACTTGTAGGGCTTCAAGCAAGCGAGCTACAGGATCCACAAGATCAGGGTAAATATTTGACACATTCTTTCTGGTAAAATTTCATTAAGTTCTAGATTTGGGGTGTAGTGTAAAAAAAAAGCAGGACCAAGAAATAAATGATGCTGACATCTGGCAAGCTTATTGTGCTGGCATGTTTGGTCTTGTATGCTGTGCCTCTTTTTTGTATTCCTGTTTTCTTCTGCATCTTAATTTCTTTTTCTAACCAATGTATGCTGTGCCTCTTTTTTGTATTCCTGTTTTCTTCTGCATCTTAATTTCTTTTTCTAACCAAATATTGTTTTTTGGTATATCTGGTTGCCATAAAGAGTTACGGATAAGGACAGCAGTGCTTCCAGTGAAAGGGATAACGTGAGCTATCTAAGCCTTCAAAAGTGGTGAAGCCTGAGTGCACAGAAATGTATTGGGCATGGAAGATCACAAGGTTGTGTTTCTAACTATACTCTTTTCTACTTTTTCCCCAAGCAATTAATTTGAAGCGTCATTCAAGATTATATGGACCTCGTCATTTTTGCCCTTTGGATTTGTTGCTCAATTTTTTTAAGTTAAACAATGGAGTAACTATGTAGTTTCATTGAGGGAATTATGCCATGCCCAATAAAAATGCAAGTGTAAACTATCTATCCTCGTGTAAAATATATTTTCAATTGCTTTCCTTTTTCATACCACAAGCATTCAAGCAGCACGTCCTGCGGCTGTTAAACATCATGCGCTTCACGCTGCAGCAGCATGGCGAGATGCTCAACAAGCTCTGCGCAATCCTTCCAGTCCATGCAGTTATTGCACACCCATCCCTCGTTGAACAAGCGTTCAACACACTACCTGACCTCCTGGCCTTTGAGAAAGAGTTGGATGAAGAGAAGGCTCTACGTCTTGTAAGTATTTTACTTTAATACTGCTATACAGCTGTGTGGCTGTTTAAAGGGTAACTTGGCCTAATATCAGTTTAAGAGAACACTTCAGTTGTCTTTTGCATGATATTGAAAACCACATGACATAATCCCCTGAAAAGTTCATTAGACATTGTACGTAGAGAAATGTTTTGATGGGTATGCAGCTGTTGTTCGGTTTCTATTAAGCAGCTGACCACCCAGTCAAGTGAGGTAAAAATGGGGGCGCTTAATTAAAAGCAAAAGATGCCAGAGCGAAATGATCAGCAATGACGCGCAGTTCTGCAGTGGCTGCTGAAGAAAGAAGCCGGGTGACCCTCGCTAGAGCAGTTCCCATTTCTGCCGCGAGAAAGCGAGCAACGAACTGGAGACGCAAATATGCAACATGCGGTGCAGTGAAGAGCTCCGTCAGTAGTGTTGTATTTGCGTGGCCAACACTGCACTAGTTGCATTCAAGACATTTTACCACAAATATTTTTTTTTCACATAATCATGCCTGGGTTATGCCATGCTTTCCTGAATTAAGTTATATTCACTCCAAATATCCCATGCTGTCTTTTTATGCAGGTTCATGAGCTCAAGCAACTCGGGGGCAAGACTGCAAGCAAGGCCACGAAGCGGATGCTGACGTATCTGCTAACTGATGAGCTAGCTGCACAGTTCTCGTGGATCGGAAGAAAGGGAAAACTCAACTTTTCAGTTTTAAAGACTGCCACTGCAATTACTGGTAAGCCAGAAACTTGAGAAAGTAACTATTTCGACGTCAAACAAAACTAATCTAAAGGTTTACTCTTAGATGTACGACATCACTTCTAAAAAGCTCAAAAATCAATTTTTTTAAATATTTGTCCATCTTCCATGTAAATAGTAGCTTACTTATTTTGACAGCAAGAAAAAAGCCACGTTTGTATTGTTTACCAGCTTTCCTGTGAATGTGAAAACATTTTTTAGCTATTTTCATATCAGACATTGAAGCAATCATTGCTGAATGTTTACCACCTTTTATGCTACTTACTAGGCCAATGGCAAAAGATATGGGCCTTTCGAGTCAGTCACAGTGCCTGGGAAGACATTTTCTCTTGAGTTGGACCCCTCTGAGAAACAGACAACAACAAAAATCCCTCGCACTGCTCTTCCCTCACTTGAGTAATTTTGTCTTTTTACCAGGTTAGCATGAAATGGACCTGGTTTATGTCTTGCATAATTCTGTACATTGAATCTTTAGATACTTTGCCCATCTTTAATAACTCGTGTGGCCTGTCATTCTTTTGTAAGATGCACATTTTCAAGCAGAAGCAAGTTACACTAGACAGCATAAAATCGGTCTTGCAGTGTATGGCAACGCTGGCTTGTGTTATGGATGAGCAATGTAGCCAGTGCAGTATGACTATGGCGCCCGGGACGCGTCTCTGACTGGTGAGTGGTAAGAAGTGACAACTGCAAAGCAAGCACTTCATGCTGTCAATTGTCACCATTCTGGCAGTTGGTGGTGGAAATACCAGAACACCAATGGATGTAAGGATTTCTGCTGTTGCGACGTTTCGAACCGTGTCTAGGTAGTTTTTGTCAGCTGACTGTCTGCTGAGCGAACTGCAACAGGCGTTTGCCGCAGCTCCTGCTGTGCCGCCACCAGGGTCGCAACAGGCAACAACACGAAGGTGTATGATGCCACGAGTCGGAAGACGAAAAGCCAAAAATAAAGACTCGATAAGCACACCAGGTGAAGATGCGTTTCCGGCACTGTAGTATGACTGCTAAGCTGGTTTTTTTTTAAGTGCACCAAGCAGTAGTTAATTGCACAAGCGCATGCTGGTATGATTCTTACCCTAATTGGAATGGGAACGGCTAAGGACTTGACTCAGGATCCGTGGGTTCTGCCAAGCAAATGTTTGCTCCATGTGCTCCGAGCTGCTTTGCACTAGCATGATCGACCACTGATCCCCTTTCTTTTTTCAAGCATTTTTGGGTATAGTGTTGTTAGGGTTATGCACTAATCTGGTTTCAGATGCTGCAAAGAAGTTGCCAGGAGGTAAAGATGCCATCGAGGACTCGATCAAGTCTTGGCTTCGGCACGCCCCTGAAAGGGCCAAGGGCCAAAGGTGCAAAGCACCTGAAGCGCACCAAAATGAAGGTATGCTTTTCATGCATGTGTAGCCATAGGGCTTTGAAAATGTTGCTTTTATGAGGCCAGTGCAAAATAAATATGATACCGTAAAATGCCGAGCATCTGCCCACTAAATACTAAGCACCCACCCCCAAATTTTGCAACATCTGAAAAAGAATGCGCAGTACACACTGTGGGTTCGCTATTTTAGCAAAAAGTCCTCATCAAGGTAACTACCCACGTCATAGTCCGCTCTTTGCGCGGCTACGGTCGGGTCCATCCATTCACTGCCTCTTGGCTACGGTCGGGTCCGTCCATTCACTGCCTCCGGTGGACAAAAGACTGCACCAACACAGTGAGCCCATTTTCAACGTGTCTATTGACTCGTATGCCAACACGCTTCGCTCTAGGACAGTGAAAGTCTGGACGCTGGCTCAGTGGCTAGTATCACCCGGTCGGTTTCCCGCGCTGCCGCAATAGTCAGATTCACGGGAAGTTGGAAGTTCACAAAGAAAAACCGAGCTCAATAGAGCAAGAGCTTCCGCCGAATAGAGCCCCCGGCCCAGGTTTGGGGCCGGCTTATATAGCCTTTCGGGAAATGGACGCGCCTTGGGGAGGCCGGTAGAAGTTTAGCCCGGAAACGGGACGCATCCACAATCACTCCCAAGGGTGCGCCGGCGGCACTTTCCCCTTACGAGGGCAAGGGGAGAGCTGTCTTTTTTGGGGAATACGGCCTCGAATCCTCGCATCCGAGAAGCCGTCGCTATGATGGCGACGACCCCCCATGGCCTGCACGTGGCTAGGGCTTAGATAAGGCAGAGAAACCTAGTGATTTCCACAACACATACCGTAGAATACCGCGCATCCGCCCATACCACACTAAACGCCCATACCCAAATTTGAAAAATCTGAGAAAATAGGCACAGTACATTGATATATAAAATTGATGACCGGACGAGCGCCCATCCTCTATTTTTTCGCAATTATCTTTAAATTTTGAGTGGGCGCTTGCCCGGTATTTTACGGTAGGAAAAATTGATGACCTAACGAGCGCCCATTCCCCAATTTTTGCAATTATCTCCTTATTTTGTGTGGGCGCTTGCTCGGAATTTTATGGTAATTCATCCCATTGATTACTACAACCGTATTGCTTTAATGCAGTTGAAGGTTTTTCAGCCCCCTCTGTGGAACAGTAGCTAATGCGTCCCATCCCAGCCTGAGCCATTCATTTCCCCGCCAGAGGATGTGTTTCTTTGGGACGACAAAACCCCCGGTGGTTAAACAAATCAGGAGACTGCCACTATGGCATTTCTCAGTGCTCAAATTTGGGCCATAAAACCCCAAATTTGGATTGCTTTGCAGAATCTCATTTGTTAGTGTACCCCAGCTAAACAGACGGGACAGAGGAAAGGAGACAAACAGGCGCTAACTATGGTACCCGGTACCCCTTCCATGTGCTGTTTAGCTTAACAATACTTTTTTTATTGTTCTCTTGCTTAACCGCTACAAGCCGACAATGTACTTGTTAGCAATTATTTTTTGGCTTTCAGTTGAATAATGTATAGCAGCCACAGTTTCTTGTTTATTGACCTGCCACTTTTTACTTTTCTTTTTGTGAGGGCGTATAATGCATACCATATTTTTATTCTTTTTGTGCACTCCTTTCTGGTTAACTATTGTACTATATTTGGGCAGTACTTTTTTTTTTGTCCAGGAGATAAAATGTACTCCCCTTTATCTTTGAATTTCGAGAGTCGGATTGAGAGGCCTTGCAGAACTTCCGACGCTGGAACACTCATCAGCAAGGAGCAGAGTGCCAGCGGGGAGTAGGAGGTCAAAACAGCTTTCCTTTGTGTGCGTCTGAGGTTTCGCGTGCAAACTTTATATATATCAGACCACAGCAGTTTCTTTTGAAGTTCATTATGCCAGGCCTCTTGTACGTGCATTTGTTTTTTCTTTCATACTTGCCGTTCACTGCCTGTGAACATTGTTTCTGTGCTCTTGTGGATTTGCACCGCAATATTTTTTCGCACATCTGATTTCAGGTGGAGTGACTTTTTTTTTACTTTTTAGTGTACAAGTTTTTGCTGTGCTTTTTTTCACAAAAAAGTTTTTTTTAAGGAAGTTCCATATAGTGTGGTGCACCTTGCAGTGGTTAGCTACCCTTGGTAATGTTGCAATAAAACCACTGTGATCCACTGTGCATTCCAGCTGAGGTGTTGTTTTTGAAGTTGTCTTTAATGACAAGTGAAATACATTTTAATAGAAAATTTAAAGATTTTTGGTTTGAATTTTTGTGAAGAAATGTGTTCTTCCTTACACTTAGCATAACATTCGTCAAGGTTGTAATGCTTGTATGGCACTGTTTATTCATACTGTGATATTTTGAACATGTCTAAGTTTAGACAAAGTGAATGCTTTTGAAGGGGTTTGCTTGCCATTTTTTTTAACATGCTATAGTGTCGTTTATTTTTGATAAGATGTTACCAAAGAGGCTGCATATAGCATGGTGTACCCTGCAGGGGTTAGCTACCCTTGGTAATGTTGCAGTAAAACCACTGCGATCCACTGTGCTTTCAGAATAAGGTGTTGTTCTCGAAGTGGTCTTTGATGACATGTGTTACATTTAAAAAAAAATTTGGTTTGAATTTTTGTGAAGAAATGTGTACTTCTGTGCATTTGGCATAATGCATGTCAAGGTTGTAACGCTTGTATTACATGTTTATTCATACTGTGATATTTTGAACATGACTAAGTTCAGTTGGAGGGAATAATTTTGAAGGGGCTTGCTTGTCATTTTTTCTTTACAAACTATAGCATTGTTTATTTTTGGAAAAGATGTTACCAAAGAAGCTGCATAGAGTATGTTGTATGGTCGCGATCCATGTGCAGGCGATTGTCAACTGCTTTGTACTGGCAGCACCGGACAAAAGCGGCCATTTATGCACATTTTTTTTAATTCTCAGAGGCTTTGCGAACCAGGCGCAGAAGGGCATCCGATAACAAGAGTAAGCCGCCACTGCATTACGTGCCAGGACAGAGTGATCGACGATCCCCTGTTTTCCTTCGCACGAATCATGACTACCTCGCAAGGACTGCATGTTTACCCCTGCTAACATCGTTGCAGTATGATCATTGTGATCAACTGCCTGTTCCTACTGTGTTTTTTTATAAAGTTGTTTAGGTGTCTAGTTACACTTAAAAAGTGTTGCTTTTAATTTTTGTGAATAAATCTGTTCCTCCTAACTTTTAGCATATGGTTCTTTAGAGGTACAAAGTTTGTACAGTATAATGTTCCTCGTTATTTTTTCTAATTTTATTAAATCTTTTTAGAGTTAAACGATGTGACCATGCTGTTATGCATCATCTAGAGAGTGCAGCACAGTTAGCGTGAACATGCCTTTGCCAACTTTTTCTGTTTTACTATGACAAGCAAAGCCAGGTCACCAAAACGATTTATGTGGTCGAAAGGGCTTAACTGGGACACAGCATAAGTGATAAAACGTTGCCTCTCGAAAAAGTAGTGATATGTTCTTTCTAACTGCGTCATAGTATGTACTTAACATTTATGTGTAACTTCGTGCAACTTGTTAAACTTGCATGTGAATCCTCTCAGGAAAGCTCTTGATTAAGAATTCATTATATTTTTCCTTTACCCGAGCGTTCAAAATGACCAAGATGCTGCTAAATCAAGGTGCTCCTCTTGGAATTGCCCTTTCCTGTGCATGTCGGAGGTTTCGTGAACCATATATTTTCTCACTATACCCACATCTATTTCTGGAAAGAGTACATCCTGTCATGCCTGTGGCAACCAGTCCTTTTTGGTTTAGAGGGAAACCGTGCAAATAGAGGTCCATAAATAATATGACTCGAAATGGTGAAATGTGCTTAGATGGTTAGCATGTTAATTTTATGCCCACTTTTCCTGCACAGCTTGTTAATTTAGCTCGGTTGTATCCTGGGCCTTCTCATTTGCTAGTCTCTCTTAAGCCACTGCAAAGAAACAACCTTCTTTAAAACAGCTTAGTTATAGAATTTGCATCCCACATAATGCATTCCCTCCCATCTCCCCCCCCCCCCCCCCAAAAAAAAAGAAAGATATTAATTGGATGGTACTGATTTGGAGTTTTCCCGAAACTGGCACTTAGACACATTTAAGTCCATTTTCGGGAGAACTCAAATGAGTCTGATGTCTTCGATATTGCTTCTTGGGGTATAGATTGTAATCAGGCTGCGTAAAAAAAAGCTTTTTCTTTTCAATGCCCTTTTAAAGCCACTATAACTAGTTCCTGCATCAACTGCAGAAAACTGGATGAACAGACATTTTTAAAAAATAAATGTGGGAAAACATGAGAAAATATGGCTAACGAACGTTCTGGCATGCGTAGGGAAAGGCATTTTGAAGGGAGCATCCTGACCGGTACGGTCCAGGTGAGCTCCAGTTAGGATAAAAAAAAGGATGTCCCGTGGATGTCCGTTATCCATAAAAGGTTATTCTTTGGACATCCGGTGGATATTTTAGCATGGAATACGTCTCTTTCTGATCATCCGAGGGACGTCCGAAAGTCCGACTTGGATGTACGTGGGATGTCACCTGGATGAACAATTTCTTTGCACAGGCCCATCCTACGGACGTCCCCAGTATGTCCCTGGGATTTCTGCGGATATCCTATGGACGTCCCAATGTTCATTGCAGGATGTCCACCGGATGTTCCTTGGATATCTATTGTCCAATGGGATGCGGGAAGGAATAGGTTTGTGGTTGAAAAACCGCATGTTTTCGCTCAACTGCGCATCGCGACTGTACCGTTCCCTGCTTGGAATCAACGTGCAGTATGCTGAAAAGGGAAGGTTGGTGCTCCAGCCATTAACCATGAGAGAACTCTTTGGAAAATACATGGGGCCACATCTGGGGTCAGAGGTGATAGATGCACTCTCTCGCTTCAATGGCAACGTCAGCCAGGTATACAGCGCCAGGACAGACAACGGTACCAACATTGTGAAAGCTGTGCGTCTCCTCGGTAAAGTGAACGAGGAATGTACTGACTCAGAAGAAGAGGTCGGCTCCAGTGACCCTGAAGTTGAGTCCCACGCTCTGCAGTCTCTACCGGGGAATTCTCAGGGCACACTTTCTGTCGATTCCGGCTTGCTAGAAGGGATGAGGTGCACCGCTGACACGCTGCAGGTGGCAGTTAGTCACCCCTTGAAAGGCTCGGGCTGCGGGCACATAGTTGAAGAAAGCCGTGCGCTTGTTAAGAGACTACGTGTCCAATTTGTTATGTCCCTTATCAGAAAGCTATGGTTGAAGAAACCAGTGCTCGATTGTCCAAAGCGGTCGATGTCCACGCTGCGTATGCTCAACAGGCTGCTTAAACTAAGGGGCTTCGCTAGAATGTTCCTTTTAATAGAAGAAAGCTCTAGGTGGACTGAAGACGTTTGGGCGGAAGTCGAAATGGTCGCACTATTGCTTCGCCCGGCAGAAGTGACGACGAAGACATTGCATAAGGAACAGCTCACTGTAGGAGATTTCTACGGAGCACGGCTGAGATGTTTCATGGAGACTTCCAAGCGAGGGACAACTTCTTGACCCGGATGTCTTCTGTGCAGCAGTGTACATGGTTCCCCGCTACCGCCTCTTCTCACCCCTAAGCAAAATTACCGGGCCACGTTGCGTGCGACAAACACTTAGAGGCGGATCACAGCTCTGAAATGCGTGTAAGATTCTATCCTTTCGTCTGAAACTGCGGTGGCTCCACAAGATCTGGGAGATGCCTTGGAAGCGCTCAGAAAAGAGGGGATGAGGCTGGCGTGCACGTTCGAGGTACCACTAGCCCACTGGATATAGCACACCTCCTATGCAAGACTAGGAGCCGCGGTTTTCAATGGACGATTACGTGTTGCAGTTTTAGGAGGAGAGAAGGGCACGCCACCCAGAGCTCTGCGCATTTATACAAGTAGCCCTGAGAGTTCCTGCGACCCAGACCAGCATGGAGGAAGCCTTTTTCGCAGTAAAGTTCTTTTTATCGTCTCAGAGGTGCAGTTTTTGCTCGGATATGCTTGGCGACGTCTTGCTTCTTTGGACAGCTGCCTGACACTGAACTGCGCTTTCACCCACGTCCGGAGGTGCCCCAGATCAAGCGCATTCGTTCCACGCAATAATGCGAGCCTTTTCGTTTAAATGTAATGCTTTTATAAAGTATGTATAGTTCATCTTTCGGGGTCGTCAATTGTTTCTGTATCGTATGTGTACGAGCCGGTTTGAACCGGTTTGAACCTTTATTTTTGTCTACGCTGGCCGAGGTTGAGCAGTTTCGTGTGGCTCCTGGAGAGCGTGCTGCGCATGCGTGAGGAGCAGTGACGTCACACGGCTCACAGCTGGCGCGAAAAAGTTCAATTTGGGGGTTTTAAGTGCCAAACCAACGACGGGCATCTTGCACGCCCCAGTGGAGGACTGAGGATTAATTTGGACCACCTGGAGATCTTTTGACGTGCAACCGAAAGTTCGGTTACATGGCGCCCATCCACAATAAGCCTCCGTCAGATTGCGGGCAACTCGGGCGGGATTCGAACCCGCCACATGGGGATCCGTAGGCCAGCGCTCTCGCCTCGGAGCCACCGAGGCGGCAGTACAGCTGGCGCGCCGGAGCCGCCGCAGCGCGCGCTTCGGCGGTCTGTGCGTTTCAGAGGAGTGACGTCATAGCCGCGGCAGACACATTGGCACCGCTGCGTGCCCAGCTGTGCGCCTCCGTTGCGCAGTAGCCAAGTCTGACGCTGCAGCGGCGCCGCTTGATAGCGCCGCTCATTTTGTGCGCATGCGCAGAGGTATCCGTGTGTGTACATATAGCGGGGCGTTTGCCAGTGTCGTATAGCCATGGAGAAGGAGAGCGAGATTGCTGCTCAGCGCCGCAGAAGAGCGGAGAAGCTTAGCTCATCGGATACCGAAGTAGTCACATAGCGCGTATACCGCGTGTGTGTCATTGAAGCAGCAGTAAGCATGATAATCAAGCTAATCCTAGACAACCAGGCAAGCTAAGAATAACCACCTGAGCCTAAGCTCACACTACGTATATCCTGGCATAGCGGAGCTAAGCCACTGCAATTGTTTTTTTCACTCCGGAGTTGAACCGGAGCCGAACCGTTTTCCCTGAACCGGAACGATGACCGGAACGGAAAACATTTTGGTTCGATACCCTGCTTACAACACGGCAGTGCGAAAGACCACGTCTGTAACACCATTTAAACTAGTGCATCACCGAAACGTAACGATCATGCTCGATACGATACTGCCCCACGAACCAGCTGACAATGGGAACCACGATGCCCAGGTGTGGTTGCTCATCGAGCTGAAGACGTTTGCCACCTTGCCCGACTCCGGATCCAAGATCAACAACGTGTCGACGCCACCTGGTACAACCCTCGTCTGATGGACGTTCGCTTCACGCCTGGATACCGTGTGTGGGTCTGGACCCCGGTATTATGGACGCGGTTTCACCAGGTATTAGCGAGAAATTTCTCAAAACGCTCCTTCGGACCCGACAAGGTACTTCGTCGACTCGGAGATCTAAACTACGAGGTGATGCCCGACTGGCCAAGAACGTCACGACGCCGCCCACCACGACCTGAACTCGTCCACTTTGTGCGGCTCAAGCCGTACTACGAACGATAAGATTGTGGACTGTGGTCCCGTGCTACGCTTGGTGGGACTCTGTTTTACCAGCTTCCGTATTTTTTATTCCTTTGTTTGCTTTGCTTTGTTTTGATTGATTGCCCATAGACGATGCTCTTTTTAAATGGGGAAGCAATGCCACGCGCGTCACGGAGCAAGAGGGTCTGTGCCCGAATGGTTATCGTGCTTGGCTCTCACGTAAGGGGCCAGGGTTCGATACCTGAGAGCGGACGCTCCTTTTGCTATTTCAGTAAATGTCGTGATTTGGTGGATTGACGGATCTCCACTAGCCAATTTGACAACACCACCGCTGCCGCAATGCATCGAGGGAACTTTAGCCTTTTTGCACGTGCGGCAACCTCGCTGTAGCTCTGTGCGTGGAGAGGACGAGATGGCACAAGCCCTCTCGATTCACTGCCGTATGCCTCCTGCGAACTAAAGTTATGGCGGCGTCACGCATGCGCCCAACGATTCTTGCGATCGAGAACCCTGTTCTATATTCAAGATCCGAATGCTCTGCGCGTTGAACCTTCTACGCCGATTGTTCTAGAAGCCCACGTGTATACTTAAGGG